TGACTCACCCCCTTCTACTCTGCACCATCATTTCCACGCAGATCTACTCTTAACCCACGGCCTCCCAGGTGCTGGTGCTTTCCAACTCTACAGACGGGAGCTGGAGGAGTGACGGTGCCAGCATGCAGGAGGTCTCTCCTGTGAACAGCTGCTGTTTTACGTGTACAGTCTTATTTTTCAATGAGAGGCAGAGATACCAAAACTGAGCAATGTTTTATGCCTGTCTGCATGGCTGATGGCATGCCTGTCCTGTATCGCTAGCTACCCATGCCCACTCTCCTTTATGGAGGCACAAAATTTTTCCTCTTCAGTAAAAATAGGAGAGGAAGAAATAAAAATCTCAGCATGTCCCCAAAGAACTGCAGGAGATGGAAATTAAATCCATCCATTACACTCACCAAGCAGGGCGCTGTCTGGGCAGGAACATTGTAGTCGTACACCTGCACATTCAAAGAAAAAAATGGAGTATCACAGAAGTGTCAGAGGCAATCCAGCACCCTACAGCAAAGTACTTCATGTCATAAAACAAACTCACATGACTTGGAAAAACAAAAAAGGAACAACGCTAAATCAAGCTGAGCAGCAACACTGTTCCTCACGGCTGCAGCGCCTCTCCTCACCCCTGCGTTGAAGGATTGCTTCACCCTTGGTTAAAATTTTGTCTGATGCTGCTGCTCAGGCCCAGGTCTCGAGAACACTTCAGCATATTTTCTGGGCAGCGCACACCGCGTGCTGCAGGGAGCACGGGCTCCAGAGGAGAAACGCTTTCTCAACTTGCTTCATTTTGTCCTGTGAGCCCGCAAGCAGCTGCGTTACCTCTCCCTGGGTTTCTCCTGCTCAGATTTGCTGTAATGTCTAGAAGCCACATTTAAACCTTACTACCTCTCTGCAAAGCACAACAGCGAAACCAGCTTACCTGGAGTTGCCGGGAGCCAGGCCAGGAGCGCGCCTGCTTCTCGCAGCCGGGGGAACCGAGAATCGAGCCCTAGAGAAACAGGCAGAAACAGGCACCCCACAGAGCCGCAACAGAACAGCAGCGAAGTTGTGCCTCCGAGCACCGCAGGAGCCCAGCCAGCCTCTGGGTGGGCTTTGGGGCAGGCGTCACTCAGGGCAGAGAGGGAAAGTGCGACAGACCACCCCCTCCCCATGCTTTGGGGAAAACCCTTTGTCCTCCCTTCTCAGCTGGCCCTGGACAGTTTTACCCCCTCTCTCTTTGCTCTCGGCCATTTACAAAGTAAGTTCAGGCTGAGGGTGGGGAAGCAGGTAAGTGAAGACACCTGCACCCCACACATTTGGCCACTGATGAGCGGGGAGAGGGGGGCTGGCAGCTGCCTGCAGCTCCCGGGCAGGAGGTATTTGGCTTTGTGCCGGTCCAGCCCCGCACGGCGGGTGACGGCTGCTGTTTGTTGTTGTCAGCCAAATGCTGCATCCCCCCTGCTAAGAGGCTCCGTATGGGATCCCAACCTGGGGCTTGTGAATTAAGTGGCTTTTAAGCTCTGCAATAAAAAAACCCATTTGACTTGAAGAATGTTATTATTCCTGGAAGGGGGTTTGCGCTGCTTTCTTGGATTTGCTTAAGGTGACACAGTACGTACACTGACCAAGGAAATGCACAGCAGGAGTCTCCTGGGAGGCTCACCAAGGACCAAACGACAGACACCCCCGCACTGGGCAGTCAGGTCAACCCAGAAGGAAACAACAAGCCCGGCTCAGCCCAGCTGTCTAGCTACAAGGAGATTCAAGTGCCCCAGCCCACCTGGGCAGGGAAACACTGCTCCCCAGCATGTCCCTGTGCCTCCCCGGAGGCAAGGAGCCTCCCTGGGCCCCCACTGAGCCCCCGCAGGGACAGGCAGACCCTGCTCCACACCATGCACATGAGGACTCGCTGCCGATGCCCCATACCGCAGAAGGTGCCAGTGAGCAGTGCTCCCTCCGGGCTCGGCCGGGCCAAGGAGGCCAATCTGATGGCACCAGACAGCTAGTTTGGTTTTCACCAGCTGAGCAAATCTCTCTCCCTCCAGCTCCGGGAAATCAGATAAGCTCTTACTGAAACCAGCTGGTAGCTTCTTCCGCAGAGCCAGAGGGTGACCGAGTGGGTACAAGCGCAGAGGCCACATCCTGGGCCAGGTGAGAGGGGACCCTGCACCCCTAGGAGGACTTGCCGTATCTTTTGCGAGGCGTGGGGAGAGGTGGGCACTTTGCTGTGCTGCAGGGAAGCACCATCACAGGTGCCTCTCCCGAGCCTGCAGCTGCTCACCGGGATGCGACTGTCTGTGGAAGAACTGCAGCATTGGCAAGAAAGCATTTTTCTGCCATTCCCATCTGCATTGAAGCAGTGTCAGACAAGGCTTAAGGCTGCAAAAACCAATAGGAGAAACCAAAATAAATCAGGATCTTTACTTCCCACAGGAAATTTACCTAGACCTCATTTATAGTCCATTTGCTCTCATCCTTATGTAACTCCTCTGCAGGAGAGGAACAGAAAACACAGAGAAAATAAACAATTTGCTGCAAAGAATTAGTGCAAGAGACTGAGTCACATCTAGCGATGCAAGCAGATAACCTGGGGCTCACTGAATACGCTGCACAGAACAATGAACTCTGAGATAAACAGCATGTGTCATGCATGTACAAACTGGCCCCAGGTAACGTGACTAAAGTGGAGCCACTGGTGTGCTTGAGAGAGATGCACAAAGAACACACTTTCGAGTTTATTTTATTGCTCTTAACGGCCTGCCTTCCGCATGTCTCATTTCCTTTTATTGAAGCTGTCAGAGAGGCATTACATTATCTCACATGCGTGCAAAAACAGCGTTTCGGTTGAGCTCATACAGACTTTTAAATGCCACAGCTGAAGAAAACAAGACAGTGGGAACTGCAAAGGGAGGAGGCAGCAGCAGAGTCCAGAGCACACACCTATGGGCAAAATTTCCAAAGGCTTCACAAACCAGCCAAGCCGCAGTCTCTAACCAGAGACAGGCGAGTGAGGGAAGTAAAGGTACTTTTCTAATAAGCTGGATGATTCACTGAAGAAGGGCAAGGAGTCCTGCTGCAACAGAAGGCTGATGAGTAATTAGTGGCTTGTCCTGGGCACAAGGCTCAGTCTTTTACCCTGGTGCAGAGCCGCCTGCCAAACCAGCTCTACTGATAGGCCCACGAGGCAGCAGCGCTTGCAAAGCTATTCTGAACGTTTGAAAAAAAGAACATTACACCCGTATTTGCACAGGGGCTTCCCTGTGCTGCCCAGTTCTCCCCAGTTCCTCATACTCACCACAGCATGGTTTTCATCCTCATTAGCACCCTGTGATGGAGGGAAGTACAGCCCAACTTCAAAGATAAAGGAACCGATCTAACCAAGTTGCCTGCGAGGGGGTGCATTACTTTCTCTTTTCTTGTTAGCGTGGCCCTGGCAGCGATAACAGCAGGGTACCAGGAGTACTGCCTCCGCTCCAGAGACCTTGCAGAAAGTACCACCCCCAGGGTCCCCACACGTGGGGCTCAAGGCACCAAACTCCCTAGCCAGCCTTCTCATCCAAGATGTGGAAAACAGCGGTGGCAAAATCAACTACTAATGGTCAGAGACAGAATATTTTCCTCATCCACAGAGGACAGTCCTTTACAGCTGACCAGCCTTCACGCAGCCGGCATTTGGACAGCAGGAAATCACAATATTCTGGGGTTAAAAACAATCTCCTCCACATTTTTTTCCCCCACCCAGATTTCTTTTTAGTGAGGCACTTGCATCCACATGCGTGTCATGCACAGCAGGTATAAACCACTACTGGCCAGGGTGCTATGAGAGGAGAGGCTAATAGGGTATTATCTACATATACTGTGGTGGAGTCTGACCTTTATTTAAACGTTGCACATCTCACGCCCATCCTGTGAAGCCGAGGGGAAGTACTTGGGTGCTCTGTACGTATCATAATTGTGGTACAAAAGCAGTTAGAAATACACTATTTAAATAAGGAAGTAGTCATTGTAGTTGAGTTTCACAAATTTGTAGGGCTACTTTTCAGTCATTTTAACAATAATAAACACGGCTCAACACGTCTATGCTATGCACATGCACAGTGCTGACCTGGTACCCGAACAGACCAGCGCACAGCCTTTCCCGGTGTACCTGCACACGGGTCCTGATGCACCGGTGGTCGCAAACCCGCCCAGGTCTGCTCATAGACAACATCTTGCCACACACAAGCACGCAAACGCACAGAGAAAACCATCTGGCATACAGGCTAAATGACACACCTCACTGCCTACTGATGGCTGCAGGCCACGCAGCAGTTTATTTAAAGTGTTACAAGAAAACATTCCCTAAATAACACCTAGGAACATGTCTATCCTCTTTGAGAAGCAAAGAGCCTATCTCAAACAAGACCCCATTGCCAGGGCCATTCCACCACTTAGGCAAACAGGGATGCTTCCCCCTTCTAACACGAAGATAAAAAGAAATCCTCTTTGCAAGGCAGCGTGCAGGCTGCTCACTGGCAGAACAGCTCCTCCCCACGATGGGACCACAGAAGTAAGGGAAGTGAAACTGCTCTGATAACTAAACATGGAAGCAGATCCCTACAGACTCCCAAACAGTGGCAAGATGACTTCACTGACCAGCCTGGGCGGTGCTGAGCTCACCAGCAATGCAGCACGCGGCCCAGGGTCTACAGGGTATTAATTAAAAGTATATGCCCGATGAACAACGCCAGGCTGGTGAGAACTGTCTATTGACAAAGCTTGCTCAGAGCCTAGCGCGGTAACCACAACTATAAATTATATTCTCCAGGGGTGGCAGGCGAGGGAAGAAGGAAGAAGTTCACAGTGAAAGATTTCCTTTCCCTTGAAAGGAAGAGGTTGGAGTGACGCAGCCAGCACTGCTGTTCGTGGCCCTGTTTCTGACAACCACAGGCTTTTGGAAACCCCCAAAGCAGCCCCCCACATTCTGTGAACAACCTCCCTCCACCACCGGCAGAAAGAAGAGCGTTTCACTAACCTCGAATCTAGGGGTGACAGAAGAGGGATGGGCACGGGGGACACGCAGACACAACACACAGCCTTGCTGCCGCTTCTCCTGCACGGGACACACTCTTCCCTGCCTGCATGACCCACTGCTGCGCTCCAGACACACACGCGTTGCTGTGTATTTTACTCTCGTATGCTGCTGGAAGAAAGGCAAGACTCTAGCTTTAGTTTGACTATACTAATCCTGCTCAAGGGGGCACTGGGATTGCTTGTTTTGCTCATCTTTGCAACAATTGTCTACATCTTCTTGGCCACCTGGACGGCTTACTGAAACTCCTCAGCCCCTATCTCCTTGCACGCAAGTCCTGGGAGGAAGGGATTTTGGAAACTGCCAAATGCGAGATGCAAACAGCCCGGGACAGAGTTTGGCAGCTCTTTAAATACTGCTCTCACAGCTCCTGTGGTTTCCTACTCCCACTGGGAAAAAAAACCACTGCAGAATACATTGATTCAGCCAGACCCACACTGACACGGCCAGGGCAGCCACACGTTTAGCCATTGCTTGTGAAATACGGTGAGGGTTGTTGTGCAAGGAGACAAGGAAGTGAAGGTGTCCCACGCTACCGCTTGCAGCAATACCTCTTTGCCTACTGTAGGCAAGGCTTCAAAAGGTCCACACCCCAGAGCAAATTTGATCTCATTTACAATTTTCTTTTAGTTTTTTCATTGGGAAGGGTCTTCCCCATTCACCAGCAGGCATAGGGGAACAGAGGGTACTGGCTCCACTCTGCCATGGTCCCATGGGCATGTCCTGGAGCCCCCTGTGTATTGTACTCTGTGGAGAAGGCAGAGTAGCTCATTGCCCTGTACTGGCTGTGGGAAGGCACCATCCACTGGCTGAGGCCTTGCTCAGTGCCGTAGGGAGTGTACATGGGTGCTCGGGCCCCGGCTTTCCCGACAGAGTCTAGAGCCATGTTCACAACTCCTGTGTAGTCCTGGGGAGGAGGCAGAGGCGGGGGGAGTGGAGGCAGGTTGGTGAAGCCCTCTGGGAGCTGTTTGGAGTCGTGCTCGGGTACCGTGGCGAGATCCAAGGGGTGGCACCTTGCCCGGAAATCGTTCAAGGTTGCGGCATCACGGGTGGGAAGCTGCTGGCTGTCCCCGGCTTCGTGGAACCTGAGCCCCAAGGGCAGAGAGAAGAGCGAGTCAAACCTACTGCAGCGGAAAACCACTGAAAACCCACACAGATCCCCTGGGGAAAGGCAGCACAAGCTCTTAGCATGCCCTCTTCCCCTCGTCTACTGCTTCATCTTACTGTTAGTGTGGATTTTAGTCCAAGCTTCACTGTCACTCACACAGAAAAACTAAATGCCAGAGAAGGTAAGCCCAGACTACTCTAGTTCTGTCTCAGTTCTATTTGCAACGATAAGAAGAAGGGGGGGAAAAAAGAAAAAAAAAATCATTGGAGTTCTGCCACTCCTCCAGCATGCTTCCTTCAAAGGACAGGCAAGTTCTGCAGTACAGAGAGCTGGCTGGGAGAGCATTTCAGGACAGGGAAATAAAGAGCACTACTAAGACACGAGTACGTGCAGAATCCGTGGGTTTGAAGTAACACAGAAAGGCTTTGTTGTGGAGCTATCTCCATGCTAATCTAGCACCTATCACCCAGGTATGCTGTCCAACAGAAAGGCATCCTTCCTCACTCCCACTGGCTGTTTTTCTTAGGAAATACCCAGTAGAAGAGGAGGAATCCCATCAGTTAAAGGGTGGTTTTGGACACGAGCACCGGGAGGTGGGACTCACCGATATGTCTGGTAGGATGGCGTAGGCACTTGCTGCTCTCTGGCCAGACCCTCCCTCTGGTCAGCTGGCACGGGCGATGCTGCAGGAAAGGCATGGCTGCCATTCTGCTCCGAGACCCAGAAGGGGTATCCGCTGCTGACCACGATGGGGTTACTCTCTTCCTTCACATCTGCGTTCTCATCTTTCTCAAAATCTGACTCACAGCAGGGAAAAGAAAGAATGGAAAAAAATGAGAAGGGGGAAGAGAGAGCCAGAGCTCACAATGGTCTGTTGGCAGCTGCATTAATCGCAGGATGGTGGAAGGAAGCACGCTAATACCTCTTCTGCAGTCATACTGCCTTAAGGGACCAGCCCTTTGCAGCTTTTTTCTGCCCTTACACTGTGGTGTTTGGTCCTGCCCTGTCTCTCTCCTTAGTTGTGCTACTGCAAGCAGCACCACGAACTGGAGCAAGGAATGATCAAATTTAAAAACAACCTAACAGAAACAGTAAAGGTTTTTCTTTTTTTTAATGGTATCAGTTCCCCCATCTGCACCACAACCCAGCTGCACAAACAGCATCGCTGGCACAACTGCACCGACGAGAACCAAGAAGAAAGCAACGGGTGATACTGCAAGCTCATATCAGTATTGAAGAGAAAACATTATGAAAGCACAGCCTACGATCACACGCGGTCACAAAGCGTGGCTAGGCTGGGAGGCTGGTGAGAGAGTTGATGAGTCGTCAGTAATGACAACCGACTTGTGAGCAGGGTCCTGTGGATCACTGCCAGAAGGAGTCAGAGACTCAAAGCCATCAGAGACACAGCACCCTTTAGGGACTCTACCCAGCCCGCTCTCCCCAGGCAGGAGACACAGCAGAGCTATGTCGCTGTTTCTCTTCCTTCCTGTGGCCTGGGCACTGCTTGGAAATCATTCTCTGGGTTTGTTGTGATCAATATTACCACGTTCCTCAGCACTGGACTCCTTTTCCTCAGGCAGCTTCCTCTTCTGGCCCTTAGCTGGACTAGGCTTCTGGCATTTGGCTCGTCCTTCCCTGGGAAAGAAACAAGACACGGGGGTAGCTTGTATGTAACCTTTTTGCCTAGATAAATATGCAAGGGATGCTGGACAAGCCTGGAAGACAAAAGGATGGGATGAACCTCTCTGCATTCTGTGACTCACACCTCTCCTAGCAAAGCACCCTGATGGGCCCGCGGGGAATACTCTTGCCATAGTCGAATTACAGGGTTAGCCATGCCGCTGCCATCAGCGTGCGCTTCCAGCGAGAGCCCTTGCCCCACGGGATACTGGGGATAAATCGGTAAAGGGAGTGCCCGCTTCATGTTTGTACAAAAGGCACAATCAACATGGAAACTCAGCACCGGAGGTTGTAAGTGTAGTCTGATGTTGGATGATACTATAATCTATAAACTACATATAATACTATACACACAGGTAGGTGCATAGTAGGGTGGGTCTTTTGCTTGTAAGCAGCTTGCTTTCTAAATGGAAAATGAGTCTAAGCTTAGTCAGAAATGATCCTATTAGGAGGAGAAAGAAAATCCATGACATTTTCAAAGTTTAAGTAAAAAAGAGTCAGTTTTGGCCTTTTTCACCAGGAAATGAGATTTTTTTCAGGCATAAAATAACACAAAACAAAATCTCAGATGTTTTCATAACATTTTGTGCTTGGAAAAAAACATTTTTTCCTTCTCTATTGCCAATCTATGGTTGCATTGAAGCTCTTTTTTTTTTTTTTTTCATCCACTGGCTGCCCTCAGACCAGACCGAAGATCTCACTGGTATTGGCATCCATCTTCCCTCTTGCAGACAAAAATCTCCTGTTGGAAGAGACGCTTTTACACACACAGGGAAAGGAGATGAGGGAACCTCCAAATGTCAGAATCAAGCTGATCTCAAAGAGACACAATGATCTACTGTGGACCCCTGTTATCGCTGCTGTTCGCATGTCGGACTCCAGTCTAGCTCCAACTTGCAAGGGAATGCAGGCCTCAAATTTGTCACACCTCCCACATTTCTGTAGGAAATTCTGTATCTTCTCCCACTCCCCACTCCTCTTGGGAGGAGGCTGCACGGGGGGACATCATTCCGAGATACAGGCAAACGCAGCGTGCCCAATGCAGCAGGCTCTGCAGAGCTAGCTGGTACAGTTTTGCTCAATGGCCTTAGGTAAAATTCACAAGTGAACTCCAGTTATAAATAAATTAAGATGAAAAAACACTTTACCTTCGAGTGTTCTTCCCATGCTCGCGGAAACCTTTAGCAAATGGATTGTTGTCAATCTTGAGCTTTGTAATCTTAAAATAAAAGGAACAAGATTCAGTATCATGGTGACTGGTTGGGTTCTTTACTGTTTCAAGACCTTCACCTCAGTATTTATCACAACAGCTTGTCTGAGGGTTTTGGGCATGCTCTTGCCACAGTATCTGAGCTCTCCCAGCAGCTCCCATTATTGATTAGGAACAGACAGACAGAGAGAAGTGACTTTGCCAGGGTCAGCATGAATTTGGGTGGGATTCATCTGACTAGAGAAATATACAGGGTCAGTATCTATATCTGGACTTTTGCTCATACTTTTTACTGCATTTAGTGTTCTGTTAATCACCGACAGCACACTTAATACAATTAAGGTGCATGATTCATCTTGTCCCAGAGTAGATGTTTTCCATAGGAATCATAATGTGCCTGTTTCTTTCCATTGTCCATCACAGGCACCCAGGGTGACTAGCTTGGAAGGAGACACCTTCCTCTACAAGATTTCTGAAGACAGAGTATTTAGCAACGTGTCCAGGGGCAATACTTGCACACTGTACCTGCTCATTCTGGTAGGCAGTAACAGAAGTGAAGACAGTCTCAGGGAAGCTGAAGACTTGGAAGATGCTCCAGCGGACACTGAAGAGGTCATCTGCCTGCACAATGTGGAAGCGAGGCTTGTAACGGTGCATGGAGTGGAGGATGATCTGGCACAGAGACAGACAAAGGAGAAAGTTTCCACGTGCAACCACTGCCAACACACTGTGCAACGTTTCCTGTGGAGACTCCCAGGACATCCATTTCAAACCAGGGATGCCTGCCTGGGACTGGTGTCTCCACCATGCCTCTATAGTGACAGTACAGACTAAAGCCTTCCCTCACAGGCAGCTAAGAGGGCACAAGGGCTGGGCTGAGGAAGGGAGAGAGGGCACTGGATATGTTTTAGTTTCCACATGATCTAATTTCTCACAAATCTCACTTATTTCCCTTAAAATCCGTCTGCAATGAATTCCAGGAGAGCACAGCACAAAGGCCAGCTACAACCTACATGCCCATGTTGATCCAGAGTGTTGTTGGTGAGCTTCAGTTTTTGGAAGGAGACAGGTTCTTTCATCCAGTGGCTGCCAGGAGCTGGGGAATCTGGGTGGACGTAGGTGCGACAAGGGAGCTGGGGCTCTGCTTTTCCAGCAACTTCCCACTGATCTTTATTCCACTGTGAAGGGAAAGAGAGAAATCTAGAGCTTAAAAAAACCCCACCTACTTTCATTACAGGAAAGCCCCAGCAACTTTGCTTCACTGTCAATTTAGTGGACGCCTCTGAAGCACAGTCCTGAGAAGTAGCAGATTCTCTCTTATGAGCCATGATCATGTTACCAAAACAGCTCCAAGTTGAGGCCTATTTTTCCTCCCTTTCTCCCAACGGCTGTCAGAGAAGTCTGACATTAATCATGATTAAAATTGTACCGCTTACAATGAAAATTAGTTACCTTTCCAGCTGCTCCTCAAGCAAAAGTGACAAATAACTCCAGAGAGGCATAAAATCCACCAATTATTTCTGAACTTTGTCCAAAGACAATTTATTTATCAGCCTGGCCAGTGAAGCATAAAGATTAACCTATTTCAAACAAAGATGGAAGGAGAGCATAACTTCTATTATTTAAAGTACTTACCTTGTACCTGAAGTTGTCCATTGGCACAAAATCTACCAGCATGAGGTACTTGGCATATGGGATTAAGCCAGAGACTTTGATTTTGCATTGTGGAAACATTCGTCTGAAGGAGAAATTAAATATACAGTATAAGGCTTTCTCTATAAAGTGGATATTGTCTAATGATCAAGCAGCAGGTCATATTTACTCGCTATTGCGCAAAGTTCTGGTAGCAGTATTTCTATAGGCCAGCTACTGAACATTTTTCTATCTCACTGATGTACTGTTTAATCCTATGGGTTTAGGTGCAATAGGCAGGGCAGCAGTCACCGACGGCCTGACATTGTTACTGCTTTTGTTCTTCTGATTCCTGTAACACAACAGCGGGAAACTTAAAGTAAAATATTTGGAATTTGCACGTAGTTCCAAGCTTTCTGCAGCTACCACAGACCTGGAGGATAGATTAGAGCATTTTCTAGCGTGGGTAGAAAATGTGCTCTCATCTAAGGGCACATCTAGCTTTCCGTTCCAGTACTCCCTGCCACCACTTTCATCTTCTGACTCTGCAAAAAAGCTTTGACATCTACCTCCCTACCCAAAGGGATTACTTCAGCTCACAGCAGCTTTGACATAATACATTACAATTTCACAATTTCATATTCTTTCACTGCAAGCTCCACAATGCATGACTCATTTAAACTTTAGAGTAGTCTGCACACAAAGATCATTACTATTCTACGCCACATTCTTGTCTGCAAATGCAGACTCAAAACTAGGTATTTACTGCTCAACTGCTGCTGCCTGTGACTGAGGCAAAGGAAGCCCAGAGCACTTTCCAGAGCAACCTCGCAGCAACAGGAAGAACATCAGTGTTAAGTGCTGAGATAAGAGTACAGAAGTTTTCTCAGCGCATCAGCCCCACAGTGACCTTTTGCATTCACAGTTTGGATTTCTACGACATCCTGAAAGTGCATTTCTTCTGCCAGGGGCAGGGAGATGTGCATAATTGGCTAAAAAACTAGTTTAAGGGCCACCATTCAAAAAATGAGCACTCAGAGATTTTGTTAACAGCTTGGGGGGGTATGGTGTGGGCAGCTGTCCTGCTCCCCTCACCTGCCGGATTTGGTGATGATCATCTCGGTTCCTATCTGATGAAACTTCATCCAGAGACCCATGTCCTCGAGGGTGACCACAATGGAGCTCTGCGGGTAGGGCTCCAGGCTGGGGGAAGGAAGTGCCTCACATGGTGTTTTCACGTCTACCGGGAAATAGAGAAAACGGTAACTTCAGACAGGCAAGAGGGGAGCCGGCATGAAGCAGCCTCTCCCGCTCAGAGGCAGGGCCCCGAGATGGAGCACCCACGTTGGCTCTCCCAATAGCCTCCAGTGCCAGCTCCCTCCAGTACAGGCAGCTACCGAATTTCACATGCTATTGTAACAGACGGCATCTATACATCTGGCTGTTCACTCCTCCCGTTTGGCCACGGTACACCTCAGCCCCAAACCACTGCGCAGTGCACAGCACTGGTTCAGCTCAGGGAGCTGAATGCCGTGGTTTCACCCATCAAGGTCCCAGGTGCTGCTGAGAACTGGGGAGTCTGTGCCACAATAAACCTCTTAAAAGAAAATCCATTATTTTTCTTCAAAGGCTTTTTGTTACTTAGTAGGCTCAGAAGGCATAAAGGCTTTTCCAACAGGTTTGGTTTTAGTTGATAAGTTATTTTGTAAAGATTTGTGTGTTGTAAAAACTCAACTTGACTTCCTTTATTCCAAAACTCAGACTGGCAGGTAGCCACAATCCACTTTTAATCCTGCTCCGGTATGATCAGGGTTACATAAAACACTTTACCAAGAGAATAAAATGAAAGCTGAAAGGATTGGAAAGATTTTAAGTGTACCGGTGGGTAATGGGGGAAAACAACAGACAGGTGGTAGCAGAGATGAAAAATCTCTCCAGAGGACAAAGAAGGGACAGACAGGAGACCCAAATGTAAGTGAAGGCAAGAAAGGGAGGTGACAGAGCCAGGCCATGGAATATTCTGAAAAGAGGATGGCTGGTCTGAACTGGACTTGGAGATGGAGACCACCGAGGAGCCTGTGACAGTGGTGGAAGGTGCCTCTTCAGTAACACACCATGGCACATCGGAGGAGCTGCCTGCAATATGCCTGCACTTTCTGTTACAGGCAGAGGACTAACTACAGTCCTGTGGAAGAGGGGGGAACTACTGGAGAAACTGTCTTTGGTGTCGATGGTACCCACCTCCTTGGTAAAGCTGTTTGGATTAAAAACCTCCTATAGGAGCTCTTAACTATATTGTAACACACGCAAGATTGCTGCTGCCATACTGAAGCCCAGGCAAAAAAAACAAACAGTTTCATTTTAGGTCAAAACGTGACCTGGTATAGCACTGGTGGACTTACTTCATACCCAGTAAGGCTTTACAAACGCTGCCCTGCGGTCTGAACAAGGTATTGATAAGCCTGCTCGACTTGGGGGGCACTCACAGCGGCAGGGCTGTCCTCAGTTCAGTGCTGGCAGGCCACTTCTGCTGGGCGATGCATTATCAGCCATGCATGGCTATTTGTTTAAAAGGGAGATTTTTCTGCCTCTCAGCCTGATCAGATCTTATTCAGAGCATATCAGAAATAAGGGAATTTTCACCTTGTTACAGCTTTCCTGAGTAATGTCTTCAAAAGAATAAGCATGAAAAGTAAACAACTATTTCCAGAGAAATGAGCTTTTTTTCAGAAAGCAACATTTTTCCACAAAAACAACCCAATGCGAGTCTAAGGGGTTCTTCCCACAGTATTAGGAAGTAAAAAACATTTAAATGCAATTTTGTCAGTTTGTAAAAGTCTTTAGGCATTTTAAAAAATATCCTCTACCCTTTTTTCTGCTTTGATCCAACATTGATGAACTGGCTAAGAAGTGACACCTAGTTTGCTCACTAAGATTAGCCTGTTAACATCTTCTTACTAAAGCTTCCCCCATATCCTCTTGCAAAGACATGAAAGCTGCCATGAGACGATGCATTCGGTAGCTCAGTGCAGCACATGTATCAAAAGGAGTTACAATAAAATTGGGCTGATTTCCCACAGGAGTCATCCAGTCACAAATACATGCAAACAGATTTTGATTAGCTAGACAGATGCTCACTCCTTCCCCAAATGAATTTTACAATTAGCATTTTTGTAAGCAAATTCCAATGCCATTAAATGAGACTACAACAAGGCAGATCTCGGGAGTCCTTCCTGAGGGGAGACTTCCAATGAAATCAAGAGGAATTTAAGTGAAAGCAGTTCAATACCGAATTAAAAATCAAAGGCAGATGCTATAACCTGGTTTTCACCAAAAAGAGTCCACACTGCACCTGTGTGAGCGAGATGCTACAGGAGACAGGGAAAAAGAGCTGTGCATACAATAAACATTGCAGCAAAGATTTTAAAATGTAGTTAATGTCTTTCATGCCGCAGGTTTTTGTGTGCACAGTCTGAGGCTGAAAAACAGGACATTAACAGTTTGCACGGGGATCTGGACCCCAGCAATGGTGTGAGCTTGCTAATGGATCCACACAGCTGACTACACAGTCATGTGCAATTGGCTTCAGTGGGATTCTGCAGTGGTGGATCCATTTGTAGGATCCACTTTGGATTTTCTTCGCAGAGCCAAAGGCTAGCCTGCAAGGCACTTCAAATTCACTCCTAGTTTGTGCCTATGTAACTAATGCCAAGACTCACACACGCATTCCCCCCCACAAAGATACCTGCATGTTGGAACTACAGCACGAAGATGTTTGTGGCAGGGTGTCCAAGCACTGAACGGAACATGTTAGATCTGTACTTCTATTGTTTCTTCTTCTATGTAACTGATTTTTTATTTTAAGTATTATTTGAAAGAGATTTAAACATTTTCCAAGAATTTTAGTTCTAAGCTATTTTAAAAGTATTCATTAGTATTATCATTGTGGTGGTAACACCAAATGTGGCACATTTTAAAACATATTCCTTATGCCAAGATTAGGTTGAAAAGCAAGATAGCTGCTATGATAAAGGCACTGAAAATTAAGAAATCTTCAATCTATTTCATGCTTGATTTTAAAGTCCTTATACAAATAAGAGCAGTTTGCCCTTCAGTTTCTGTATCGAGAATAGGCTGTACATATCCTTTTCCTATCTTGGAGATGGAAAGGACAGAAAGATGAATGAGAGTCAATTCAGTAATGCTTAGGGGTGGGGGGGCGTGGGTTAAGATCTTTGGATAGAAGATGCTAGAGTACAATCCACTCACCTCAAGCAGTCCCTCAATTAATTGTCAATTACTAAGACAATGTTACGATGTCAGAAAATCCGTTGCAGACTTCCTACAAAGTATGGGATAGGGTTTGCAATACTGGGAAAACTCCAAGGTAAAAGGTATGCTTCTTACCTTCATTATAATCAGTTATTATTACATTTGTTGCTGTTAACTTCTCAGTGAAGAAGTCCAACACTAACAGCTATTCAGTGTCCACAGGGAAGAAATGCACATCAATATATAAAGCTATCAGAGAAATTAATCTTGCCAACAACAAAAAAAACCCCCATGTTCTCTGATCTTATAAATGTCAGTAGAAACACCCCGACCCTCTGGAGGGAACCCATTTCTCGGAACCAGAAAGCTTTTTGGCAATAACGAAAGTATGGTGTTTCTACAAATGCAATGGCTTCACCACTCAAACGCACCCCGTCATCGCCTGGAATATTTCTGCTCTATGGGGTCGTACACCAGAAACAATTCAATAAGAAAATGAGGCGACTTCTGCAATAGCTGGAATCTTTAACATGATAAAATACCGTAATACAGCCTGTGATTTTTTTGTTGTTGCTCTTTTGCTTTTAAAGTAAAAATTCTCTTGAAGTGGCAGAAATCAGTATGAATCAGATCAACACAGTATGGACTGCTTTATAAAAACCCATAAGAACGGTGAAGGTGGAAATTATCTGAGTCATTGCACATGTATTTTGCTTATGAATGAAACAACACATTGCAGAGGTAGAGAAAGGAAGCTGAGAATACCCAGCCACCTCTAACGCGTACGTGAACTGCATACCTGAACTAGGTAAATAGTTGTTTCCTTCCGATGCAGAGTAAAACCCAAGACTAAATTTGGGTTTCAGTTACTGACAAATGCAGTACCTCTGGACCGGCCCTTAGTTTTCCAATGCACATCTGTCACTGGGCCCAATCTGATCATGCAGAAGAGGTTAACAACATGCCATGAGACGGACTGATGAAGAAAAACATAAATAAAACCCGAAGGAAATCACAAAAATCCTGTGTTTGGGCATGAACCTGGTAGAGGTGGGGTATGCCTGCTTGGGGTTTATACTTTCAAAGGGCAGAGAAAAACCAAAGGAAAAAAACCAGATAATTTGTATCAGAACTATTATTAGCAATATAACAAATATTTCCAAACCTTCTGCGGCCTTCAACCTGAAGGAACTCAGGGTACTTTGCAGACAATATACAAATAACACCTCTAGCCTTCAATGCACAATCACATTGCACAAGATGATACGGATAAGGGAGTTTTGGGCACAATTGTGAGTAAACCTTTGCTACCTTACAAAAGATCTTCCAAGGCTCACAAAGAACACTCAAAACCACAATTTCTTATCTATTCCTACCAAAAAAAAAAATTTTAGAAATCCTCTCCAGCCACACACGCGCTACTATAAATGCTGGTAACCCTTCAGGAGCATTTGTTCTCTTTCTAAAATGATTGTACGCTTTTGGCATAAGTCTAGGATCTTTCCACACAATAAGGAAAAGGAGGGAGTCCTTTACCTACCTGGTAAAGCTTGCATTTTTCCATGTACTGTGGAGTCTAGGAGGTTGCACAGCCGAGAGAGCCACCAGAGTTCTTACAAGGGGAGCCAAAATAGTCCAGTTCAAAAGCAGGTCTGATTTCCTGAAGCAAGCAAAAGCCCTTCCTTCTGAGATCCAGTGTCAAGAGTGACCGGAATGAGGATGGGACTCCAAGCGCAGCTAGCCAAGGTGAGTTCCTGTTTTATGGAGGCTAATGAGCAGGGAGGAGCTTCTTGCCAGGGCTGTCCCCTTACAATCCTTTGATGTCCAAAGGGACAAAGAGAGGAAGGATCTGCAGCAATGGCTGGGGCTAAGGGAAGAAAATCAAAGAGAATTAACATGGCTTTGACATACAGGAAACCCTACAGGGGAAATGCACCTTGATTTACTGCTAACGCACTTTTAAACAAATAGAGACAAGACCAAAAACATCGGTTGAAGACTTACCTACAAAATAAAAAAATCCCTTAAACAGCAAGCAGGAAAAATTTCCTTCTTGCTATTCCACGGATTTGATATAATTTTCATCTCCAGAGCACAGAATCATTTTACTCTTGATTTCTGGTATCAGAATCAGGACTGTATCGAGCTTATTCCTTCCCAAGTGGGTGATTAACAGTCTGTGGTAAAGTTTGCCCTCACAACTGGGATGCAGCAGCAACGCATTCATTCACCAACAGATGTCTTCTCCACTAACAGAAATAGATGTGATGATACAACATTACTTACCTACCCAATCTCTGCATTCACAGCCTTTAACTGCACAGTTAATTTTCCTGCTGCGCTGTTTTTCTATGGCAGAGTCCTCACTGCTGCACCGCATCTGTTCTGAAGCTCAGAACGGAGGGTGCTCTACATGCAGTATCTTTTCAGCTAAGCTTCATGAGGGAAAGTTGCAACTGTTTAATGACACACCCATGCTAGCGGATCATTTTGCTGGCCCCAACTCCTTTGGCTGGCACCTTCCAGGGCTAGCGCAAGTGATCCAAGACTCTCATGGCGGCTCAGGCACTGGCTGTAGGCCTTGTTCGAGGCACTGCTCTTACTGAAGGAAGGCTGAGCAGCAACTGAAGGACTTGAGCATTTTCCCTTAATTAGTTTATTCTGCAAGTGTGACCATTAGCTTTTGTACTTATAAGTGCTTACAAGTGCTAAGAGACAGCAATCAAGTCTCATGCTTCAGGGCACAAAACAGCCACTACACCTTGGTGAAGAAGGGAGTTCTATGCATTCACTACAGAAATGGCTATACTAACATTTACAGGTCGAAGATGTTCAAAAAGTGGAGGTCAAAAGCAGGATATCAGTCTCAATGGGCCAGTGTTGGATCCTGCACAGCAAATTTAGGAGCTCTGTTCATTTCAAAGAGCTTGCTATAAGGCTGCAGCTGATTCACGGTCTAGTTTTGCTCCCAATAAAATTAAACATTTTTTTATTTTGTCAGTGATGTTATCGGACATCTGATTTTCAGTCTGACATGAAAAACACAGTGTGAATTTATTTAGTCAGTTCCTATACCCAAACAACATCCCTTTAGTTCTGCTTTCACTGCCTTTTGGAGCAGGCAATGCAAAGAGGACAAAGGAGTTTAATCAGAGGAGGAACTGGCTCTTTCAATAGTATATTGAATTTTAGGCATCTCAGAACTAGGCAGGGAGAGAAAAGCCAATGCTTAGTGTGGCAAGGAAGAATGTTTAAAAGAAAGGGCTTGGAGAGTTCAAGAAGCCCTGAGGAGGATTTTATAGCAGGAGATGGTCCGTTGGCTCCCAGCACCTTTGGAGGACCACATCCAGCCTTCCTGACATCCCTTTAAAACTACTGGATAATATAGAAGACCGCAGGCCTTCAGCTAACTTGGGGACATCCAGAGCTGGGGAGTCTCAGTACCACTGAAGAGGGGACTATCATGTGGTGGAGCAACATCAACTTGTAGCTCAGCTGGAGGCTATTTATTACATACGTGGAAAAATAAATCAGAAGGGTTTTGAAAATGGTATCAAGGTCAAATCTCTTCTGCTTGTACTTGCACAGCCACTACCAGACACAAACAAAACAGGATGCAGAAATGCTTTTCTGCTCTGCTACAAAAGGAAAGCCAGCATCAAATCTGCCCCCCCGCCATGTCCTGCTTGTCTAATGCTAGTATTTTAATTGTAGAAAGCAGAAAAGACAACCATACTCAGAATCTGAAAAGAAAAAATAGAACAAAAATTGGGTCAGATTCAAGCTAGCAGCGAGATGGATCAACATCCCACACAGTATGAAACTGCACAACAGCAGCAGCAGCACTGGGAATTTCAGACTCTTCACCTGACAGGAGCGTGGGACGTGTATCATGACTTACTGCTTCTTCCACGAAGGGGTATGAGATGGTCTCCTGCTGCCACTTCATTTGCACACTGCCTATCAGCATGTCTAGAGAACACACATTTGCTACAAGTACTCACATCCTTTTGGCTTTTCCCAGCTGACTGATGGGGAAGGTGGAGTCATTAATTACCCATGACTAGTTAACAACTAGCTTTCTCCCAGCCATTCTAGTTGCACTGGAAAGGTTTTAAAAGTGAAAAAAAGTGAATTTGTTACTATTGCTGGAAAGCGTGGCTAACAGGAGCAATCCCCAGGAAATTCATCACTAGGCAAAGGGGGAATTTAGCACATTACCCTCGTCTGTCTGTCCATGGAGCACCCTCAGGCAGTTCGCTGGGAAGTCAGAGGTGAATGTGCTGGTGTCTAACAATTCACTGGCAAATTGGAGGCTGAGGGGGGAGGAAAGGGATGGGAGAGATAGTGGATCCGACATGTGTACATCAGTGACATACACAGCTCTGCTCCAAGCTCATTTACAGCAGCAGGTAAAAATCCTGCCGTGCCTAGCTCTAACAGTAGGCTCTCCTGCTATGCTGAAGGGGACGAGGTAGGGCAGCACAGAAGGGAGGGGACATGCGATGACAAAAGCAGAGGCCAAGAGCTTTTGCTTTGCATCTCTTTGAGGAGGTGATTAGAAAGAAACATTCCCCTCTGGGTTTTGTAGTAAGGCAAATGTTTTCTGGCACTTCTCCCGCCTTAAGTGAAGCTTTAACCCTTAACACTCAACAGGACCCCGTAGGGAACTGCTCTGTACAGATACCCTCCCCCATTCCTACCTTCTGAACTGGGAGCTCTCCAAGACAGGGCGATCATCTTGCCATCTCTGGCTGGTGTCTGGGGCTCTCAGACTGTGGGAGAACAGATAACGCATGTGTCAGCTAGCAGGAGGCTTTGGCTAGCAGGATGTGAGTCTGCAAGTGGCTGCACGGGATGCACCACCACCTCTGTCCAGGCAGAACTTCCAGGACAGCATTCTGCTCCGAGAGCAAGCTCAAGTGCGAGGCATAAAGTTACTGTCTGGGAGACTGCTGAAATGCAACAGAATAATCTTTTGAAAGAACCAGTCTTGGATTATTGCTCGTCTGTAGCAGCACTCCAGCACAGTATCCAGTAATACAACCCCTGCAGGCTTCGCTCTGTGCACACGGTTGTGGGAAAGCGTTATCATACCAGCTTTAATAAAACTGGGCTTAAGTGAAGCAGTGTTGTCTGCCTGAGTTTGCACAAACGAGAAAAAAAAAACATGGAGAAGCGTAAACTGCATTTAAGAGATACTCTCGGTCTGAAACATGAAGATAGCCTTACTGCCATTTAAATGTGACCCATTTAGCAGATTCCCACCTGGCACACATAGGCCACAGTCCCAGAGCATCTTGGCAACTCTTTATGAAGGATACTCTGCCATCTGCATGGAACAAACACTGAAAATGTGGAAAGACAGTGTGTCATTAACAGGACCCAAAATAAAACAAATAGATAGCCCTACACTGATGGCTACTTATTTTCGTACTTAATTAAAAACATGAAGTGGCCTCAGACTCTCCAGACTGCTTCAGAATCCACAAACCTGCCCCTTAAATACAGGCTCAGCTCACTGCAGAGCAAACGGGGCCTGATTATGCACACAGAGCCGTGGGGAAAAGTAATGTTTTTCCAGAGAAAAAGCCTGATGAAACTATTGCTCCTACAGCTGTGCCAGCCTCGAAGCATGTGACTCCTTGTCCTTGTTAGTGACCGACATCTCATACAGAAGAAAAGGAAATACAAGTGCAACTCCTCAGACAGCGCTGAGCTGACCGAGCGAACAGAGCAGGGTCAGTCAGGACGGAGCGGCTGAGCTCTGACGGCATGGGCGCAGCCTGAGTTTGGGCAGCTTTATGAGCAAGTCTCTGTGGGTGGCTACAGGAATGGTAAAAGCCCGCAAAGTGTTTTGAGATCCTCTGGAGAAGTACTACCTATAATTTCCTATCATGTGGTAGCATAAGGAACAGTTCCTACCCAGTTCCTTATGGCAGCTCACGTAACACAGCATTTTCTTCTGATGGTGGGAAATGGCACTTTTTTCCCCCTCCTTTTTTACAGTTGGGTTTGATTGCTTTTTCCTGGGAAGAGTTGTCTGGTGTCTCCAGGCATGTTACATGTGCATTGCCATGCAGATGTTCCTACCCTGGGACCCACGCAAGGGGCCCCACAGAAGGCAGACCTCTGTAGGGCTGAAAATCCCATGCTGAGCCCCAAATTGTATCACCCCAAAATCTTCCCTGTGCTCTCAGAAAGCAAAATCACATTTGGCAAAACAAAACAGTTGGTTGGAGAGGGCCTGTTGGTAACAGCTCAACGCTAATTCACAACAGGATCCTTGGACCGAGGCGCAGTGTGCTGTGGGAACTGGCCGCATGCCTGCGCCCACCCTGAAGGAGGCTGTATTTCAGCAGTGACGGGATCTGTTTTGGAAGGGAACGTGTGAAAGTGGCTCATGTAAATGAAAAGTTGTACATTGTAAGTTTAACACAAGGCTTTTCCTCTTGCACGTTTGTGGATTGAGGTATCTGGCCACAAAGCTGTGCTCCTGAACCAAAGAAAAAGAGGATGCTCTTCTGTCTCCCCTTTATCATATCCGCCCTCCCCAGCCCTCCTGGAATATGCACCCTTCTCCCAGCAGTTAGTTAGCATTGAGACAAGAAGGGCAATACTTAGCAGCCACTTAACACTGAAGGCTGAGTTTGGCCTCAAAGGCTACAGTCCAGAGTCAAATGCAAAATATTTCTG